AGTTTGTGTTTTTATCAGGATCTTGAACCCAACTTACCCATTTTAATGTTATGTGCTTAAATTGTGAAAACAACTGATTTAATAACTTAGATATGATTTAGGGGGAGCTTACAAAAATAAACCTATGAACTATTAAATTCAGATAGAGCTTACAAACCTCAGACTCTGAAATTATGAAGTTACTAAAATTGGTTTAATAACATGGATAAAACATAGGGGGAGCTTACAAATTTCAACCCATGAACTATTGGACTCATAGAGAGCTTACAAACCTCATGCTTTGAAGTTGTCAAGTTATTAAAAATAGTTTAAATAATTTGTATAGGACTTAGGTGAAGCTTACAAACCTCAACCTATGAACTGTTAGACTCAGGGGGAGCTTACAACCTCAGACTTTGATGTTGTCAAATTATTAAAACTGACCAACCAATTATTCTTAAAATACTTATATTTGTCATCATAAAAAAAGGGGAGATTATTGGAACAAAATCTGTTCATTCTCTTTGAGCTCATACTTTTTGGGTTTTGATGATAACAAAAGTACTTAAAGAACAATAGGGTATACTAATGTTTGGTTAAGTGTGCAGGATCATTAAACTTATAATTAACTAGGTTTTGACCTAGTTAATGGCCTGTAAAGAAGTAGCAAGAAAATTAAAAATATAATGGACCAGAATCTAAATTTCATATAAGACCTCAGTGCCATATTATTCCAGTCTCTGATATTTAAATGGAACTTCAGTGCTACATTGATTTTGCCTCTGATGATTCAAACGAAACTTCAAGCACTTGACAAGAAACACAATACAAAGCTCTTATGTCTGTACTCTGCAAAAGCAAGTCCATCTTGTCAACAACTAGAATTGTGAAGCAAGTTAACTAGAGGTTTTAACACAAGGCTCAAGTATAAATTATATGTCTATAGATGCCTTACTTGAGAAAGGCATAATGGATAAATAAATTATTCAGAAGATGAATATCTTCATCGTACCAACTCCAACGTCTCTCTCTTGAAATGCATTTCTTCACCAAAGGAACTTGTGCAAGTAAGCTTCCAACGTCTCTTTTATTCCCTCTATATAAAGAGCTAAAGATTCAAATAAAGTAACAAGAATAATACAACAAGAACAACAACAAAAACTAGAATATTGCAAGAACTGTCTCTCACTCAAAGTTACAATTTATAGTTGTTGTATTGCACATAGACTTGAGAGATTCTTACACTTGTATATCTTAGAAGTCTCAAGTATCAAAGTCTTTACATATGTTGTATCATTTTCACATCTGATTGAATATCAGGTACATCTTGTTGTAAACCTAAACAATTTGTTTAGAATTTGTAAAAGTCTCAAACTGAGTGTTTGAGCAAAGAAGTCTCAGGCTGAGTATTTGAGCAAGGAAGTCTCTTTCTAGTTTTATTAAGCAAGGAAGTCCTGAATAGTTGGTTTAGGCAACGAAGTCTCTTTCAGATTGGTTGAGCAAGGAAGTCTTGAACAATTGGTTTAAACAAGGGAGTCTCTTTCAAGTTGATTGAGCAAAGAAGTCCTAGACAGTTGGTTTAAGTAAGAAGTCTCTTTCTAGTGAGAATGATCAAGTCTTGGACTGGTGTGTCTAAGCAAACTATAATCAGGTTCTGATTATAGTAAAAAGCTCTTGTGTGGTAAGAGGATTGGACTACTTTCGTTAAAGAGAAACCATGATAACTTTATGTGTAATTTACTTATTGCTTATGCACTTTAAGTATTATACTAATGCATACTCTAGCATAGAATATGAATTTGGTCAGATTCATAAGTTGCTATTTTGAGAAAGCATAAGTTATCAGTTATACAATTCAACCCCTATTTTTTGTGTATTTTCTCACCTTCAATATTTTCATACACTAAGTGTACGATCAAAGAACCATACTTTTGATGTCAAATGTTGGACAAAATCGAGTTATAAGATAAAATAGTGAATAATGAAAGATGGAGAGAATGAGAGAGAATTCAGGTGAAATTGTTACTGTTTTTTATTAATGATCCAACATGGATATTCATACAACAATACACATCAATGTAGTTAATCAACTAAAGAGAAAATAAATTTTATAACTCTGTAACCGGTGACACCAAACTCTAATCAATTATAAGAGGCTACGGTCTAAAATATACAAAGTTAGAGGGTGATAACTAGTTACACTAATTCTATTACTGATTATATAATATCTATGTTTGATTCTTTTACTACTGAAATAGGGTAGTGACCAATTACATTGCTATTGTAATCAATTACACCAACTTAAATTATTCTATTTTCACAACAATTGGGTCATGATATTTCACAAAGTTTCAATTTTATTTCAATGTACATTATAAAATTTACTTATGCTTATTCTTTTTTAAAGAGGCTTAGGAGTATACATAATATAACTTCAAAATCTTTTCCTTTGGATTTATGTTAGTCATAAACACTTATAATTATAATGATAAATAAAGGTAATAAGAGTAATATACAGGTAATATCCTTTCTATTTCATTCTCATATAATTAATATATGACACATATAATATTTTAGAATAAAGTTGATTAATGAAATGTAAAAAATTAGTTAATAAAGTTATAAAATTCATTGATAAATTATACAAATTTTTAATATTTATGAAATTGATTAATAAAATTTAAAATATTGATTAATAAAATTTTTTTTTAACAAAATTGATTAATAAAATTATGAAATTTATTAATCAAATAATTTTATTTCTATGTTCCGTCAATCTAAAAATAAAGAAAAATATTTTTTTTATTTTAAAAAATTATTATTATAATATTTTACTGTTTATCGTAAAATATATAAACAGTAAAATATGGTATAGATGTAAGAATGTGTATAAAAATAACATTTTTCATATAAAATTTACTTATGCTTATGTTTTTTACCGAGGCGAGGGAGTATTATGTTATATAATTTCAAAATCTTTTTCTTTGGATTATATGTTAGTCATAAACACACTTATAATGATAAATAAAAATAATAAGAGCATTCTAAAAGTAATATCCTTTCTATTTTATTCTCATATATTAATATATGACACATGCAATATTTTAGAAGAAAGTGAGTAATACATTTCATCTAACTCTTTTACTTTAAACCATAAGTCCAACTATACCCTTAGTGTTTCTTAACATTATATATCTACATACTCAGTCCTACTATTATTGTACTATCACTTTCCCTTAGAGAGAACTATCCCCCAAACAGAAACATTACCCCCAACAAACAACTCTTAATTAATACCCCCTAAACACTCGACAATTTCTACTTAATCACATTATACAACATGCCCATTTTTACTCCTAGTATCTACATATCTACTCCATCTTCAACCACATACTATAAAGTCCTTATTGTTCTAAGATAACCTAAGAAATCCTCTTGAAAGCAACACAACACACTTTTGACATAATTGACCCAACCATACACCTCAAACCTTTGGGTACATCCCTCATCAAGATAATGATATAAACTTAAAAACCTCATAGAGAATTTCCTAATTAAATTTGAAAGCAATAAATCCATATGTCTAGTATCTATACCAAATTTAATTCCAAGGTTTCCAACAGTATCAGTTTTGTTTGATTTATTTACTCCATAGTGTGTGTGGTCCCCATATGAAATTGACACCCTTCGATTGGATCTCACCGGTTTCAGTGTCGAAAAATATCAATAAATACAAGTCACTCCATTCTCCACCTGGACCCACCACCATGCAAATCTAAATCGTACGATTATTCAATGGGTCCCACTTGTAAAAATCAACGGCTCTGATCTTTTTGACTCTACTCATGACTTCTGATTCTTTTCCTTTAACGCTTCTATTCTATTGTAAGTCAATATTAATTTCTCTCCCTCGAGCTTCCAAGGTGAAACTTTCCCTCTAAATAAACCACGCTCAACAAAGCGCGTGCTCTACACTCCAATACATTTTCTTTTCAAACTCACAACCGATAATTATCATAATCGACAATTAAATAAGTTTAACAAAAAAAATTACTTTTTTTATAAAATAATTTAATAATTTATTTATTTTTTAAATAAATAAATAACATATCGCAGATTTTAACCTACATATAAATTAATTTCTTTCACTCACTAAAGAGAGCGTGAGGTAGAGTAGTTGAGGGAATTAAAAAGGTTTGACTTATTGTAAAGCAAATGGTGTGGAAAACCCAACGTATAGAAGCACCAATCATAAAGTGCCACGTGGATTCAAACAGCCAACGTAGTAAAGTGGTGTTGATCGGTTTTCTGTCTACCTACATTTACCACTCACAGTAAAATATTAAACTCACCTATTTATCACTGCAATATATTAAATTTAATTAATCTTATATTTAATTAATAACATATTAACATTGTTAAAAAATAAATAAACATTGTTAAAACGTGATTTTTTTATACTTCAAGAACAAATTTACCGTATGGAATTTGTAATAAAACCATTTGATTATATGAGAGAGTAACATAAATTCTAGGATAAGGTAAAGAAACAAACGTAAGAAAAGGGACCATTTCCTCAAACTGTGTCTCAGTGTTTGTGTGTGAGAAACAAAGATCTGTGTGAGAAACAAAGATCTTCAAAAAGCAATACCTTCCCTTCATTTTCAGAACCCTCTTCATGGTCCTGCTGGTATAGTAAACCCTCATGTACTACTCTCTTACTCTTTTTTTTTTTCTTCACTTTCATTTTGTTTTTTTTTCTTACACGTTAAAAACCTATGGAAGATTCTTCTACACACACACACTTGTTCTTTGATGCTATATCTTAGATTCTGTTTTTTTTGTTGTCTGAGAATCTTTGTTTTTTTACTATGATATAATAGAATGTTTTTTTAGTTGTTGTTGTTTGGATTCTGATACAGGAAAGTTTTTGTTTTTTGATGTTAACATCAGGTTTGGTTCCACTGAAGTAAAAAAAAACAGTGTGTGCAGTGCAGTGCAGTGCAGTGTGGTTAAGAAAAATGTATGGTGATTGTCAAGTTATGTCAACAATGAGAGGTGGAAATGTAGTAACAAACTCAGAATCTCTCTTCTCTTCTCCGATCCACAACGCTAACTTCAACTTCATGCCAACCATGCCTTTTCAACCTTTTTCTTCCTCCATGGTAAGTAAACCTTTTCATTTTTTTTTTTTGTGTGACAACTGACAACATCATTAATGTTGGTTTTGTCTTCATTTTTGTGAATATCTATGTTTGAACAGAAAGAAGAAGATGGAATTTTGAGAGGGAAAGAAGAGATAATGGATCAAAGTGGTTCAGGTAGTGAACAAGTTGAAGACAAGTCAGGGAATGAACAAGAGATCAATAATGAAGAACAACAAGCTGCAAAGAAGAAACGTTATCATAGACACACTGTTCGTCAGATCCAAGAAATGGAAGCGTATAATATAACAACAATCTCTCTATCTTTATATTTTTTTTAGATCTTTCTTTTTCTTCATTATTTTAACTCTCACACACACAATATCATAGAAAAACCATAACCTAATATGGTTTAGCACATATTATTAACTGTGTTATTGTTTAAAACCCTAGGCAACAGTTTAAGGTTGTTTTTTTGCATGTAAAATAATGATTATGTTTATATATATGCAGTTTGTTCAAGGAATGTCCACACCCAGATGATAAACAAAGAATGAAACTAAGCCATGATTTAGGACTGAAACCACGCCAGGTTAAATTCTGGTTTCAGAATCGTCGAACTCAGATGAAGGTACACAATCAAGAGTTTAAACTTTCATTGTACTACACACAAAGCTTTTCATAAAACCTTTCCATTAACAACGTTTGTTCTTCTTTTCCTTCTTCTAACAGAAATGAATGAAACAAACTTAAATAAAAAATCCCTACACTGGTACAAGCATTATTGAATTTAACATATCACGTTTCCCAATGAAAACGCGTTTTCTTTCAGTTTTTTGCATTAAACTTCTTGAGTCATGAACAAGAGAAAAGAGTTTTTTGATAAATGGCGTTGTTGGTGTTGTCCATTATACAGTCTGTATTCCATTAATGTAATGCATTAAACTTCACCTGTCACATGTGGTCTCCAAAAACTAGTCATATTTATTGCTATATATCATCATTACTAGGGTTACATAAGAGGTCTTGGTTTGGTTTCTTCATTAATTTTTCAAAACAATTTATTTATTCTTATTCTTTGAATAGTAACGTATATATTAATTATTAATTATGAATCCGTATTGGAAATTAATTATAGGCACAACAAGATCGTTCAGATAATGTGATACTTAGAGCAGAAAATGAAGGCTTAAAGAATGAGAATTATCGGTTACAAGCTGCTTTACGTAATATTATATGTCCTAACTGTGGTGGGCCATGTATTATGGGCCCTGATATGGGCTTGGATGATCATCAACTTCGAATTGAAAATGCACGTTTAAGAGAAGAGGTATATACTTTTTGTTTCTTACTATAAACCTTATTCATAATCTATTAAGAAAGATTGCATGGTTTGATTTTTCGGATTTGAATGTTTTGCAGCTAGAACGTGTGTGTTGTATAACATCAAGATACACTGGTCGTTCACTCCAAACAATGGCACCACCTCCATCTCTTATGCCACCATCTCTAGATTTGGACATGAACATATACCCAACAAGACATTTTGTTGATCATATTTCACCATGCACAGAAATGATTCCTGTCCCTATGTTACCATCTGAGTCATCACATTTTCAAGAGGGTGGTCTTTTACTCATGGAAGATGAGAAATCATTGGCTATGGAACTTGCGGCTTCTTCTATGACTGAGCTTGTTAAAATGTGTCAGATGAATGAACCGCTTTGGATTCGGAACGGTGAGAATGAAAGGGAAGTTCTTAATTTTGATGAGCATGCTAGGCTTTTTCAATGGCCTCTGAATCTTAAGCAGAGAAGTGAGTTGAGGACAGAAGCTACACGTGATAATGCTGTTGTTATTATGAATAGTGTCACTCTTGTTGATGCTTTTCTTGATGCTGTAAGTTTTTTTTTTTTGTTTAACTTCTCTATTCATTATTTCAATTTATTTCTTATGAATTTTGTGTTGTTTTTGTTTTTTCATTTTAGCAAAAATGGATGGATTTGTTTCCAACAATAGTTGCTAGAGCAAGAACTGTCCAAATTATAGCTTCTGGTGCTTCTGGTCATGCAAGTGGGACTCTTCAGCTGGTACGTGTTCGTGTTTTCTAACGATCTCCTTTTTTTTAATGTTTTTTCATATTATATATTTAGAAAAAATATACTATTTGAATAATGAATGAATGAACACTAATATATGACATATTTTTCTAACAGATGCATGCAGAATTCCAAGTTCTTTCTCCATTGGTGTCCACTAGAGAGACTCATTTTCTTAGATACTGTCAGCAAAATGCCGAGGAAGGAACTTGGGCCATTGTTGATTTTCCTGTTGACAGCTTCCACCAAAACTTTCATCATTCATATCCCAAATACTGCAGAAGGTCCTCTGGCTGTGTGATTCAAGATATGCCAAATGGCTATTCAAGGGTAAGATAACTAGTCATATTTTCAATATGTTATCGTTACTATAATTAATCATTTTTTCGGTCTTACGTTTAATTTTAATTGTGTATGCAGGTAAAATGGGTTGAGCATGCAAAGGTTATAGAGAAACCTGTTCATCAAATATTCAGTAACTATGTCTATAGTGGAATGGCATTTGGTGCACAACGTTGGTTAGGAGTTTTGCAGAGACAATGTGAAAGGGTTGCAAGTCAAATGGCTAGAAACATATCTGATCTTGGAGGTTTCATTTAGAAAAATTAGTTATAACCATCGTATCCAGTGACTAAACCGATTTTATTTATGAGATTTTGCTTTTGGATTGCAGTGATACCTTCTCCGGAGGCGCGAAAGAACTTGATGAAACTAGCTAACAGGATGATAAAAACTTTTAGTCTTAACATGACTACTTGTGGTGGTCAGTCATGGACTGCTATATCAGATTCACCAGAAGACACTGTTAGAATCACAACTAGGAAAATCACTGAGCCTGGCCAACCTAATGGCGTGATTCTCGCAGCCGTTTCAACCACTTGGCTTCCTTATTCTCATACCAAGGTCTTTGATCTCCTCCGTGACGAACGCCACAGATCTCAGGTACATATCAATATCTCGATGTTGCAATCCAGATTGTGGTCTCTAATTATTTTAAAAAACTCTATAACTACTGGTTACCTAAATTCTTGATGTTTTTTCTCTTCAGATGGATGCTCTTTCTAATGGGAACTCATTGAATGAAGTGGCTCATATTGCAAATGGTTCACATCCAGGAAACTGCATTTCCCTTCTTCGCATAAATGTAAGTTATGATCGATTTGAGGTGTATTCGCGATATAGTTAGTATCAAACTATAGATAGTAAGGTGAATGAAAGGTGGAAAAGAAAAATGGATGCTTATGATTTTGTTACACATGCATGCAGGTAGCAAGTAACTCATCACAAAATGTAGAGCTAATGCTGCAAGAGAGTTGCACAGATCAATCAGGAAGCTTACTAGTCTACACTACAATCGATGTCGATTCAATACAGCTAGCCATGAGTGGTGAAGACCCTTCATGCATTGCACTTCTTCCACAAGGGTTCATGATAGTCCCAATGGTTTCATCAAATACCGACACATCAAGCCTTGTTGGAAATTCATCTGATCAAGGAACACCATCATCACCAACTACTACTAATGCTGCTGCTGCTGCTGCTAACTCAGGTTGTCTTCTTATCATGGGAATGCAAGTACTAGCAAGCACAATTCCTTCTGCAAAGCTTAACCTTTCAAGTGTCACAGCAATCAATAACCACCTCTGCAACACCCTGCATCAAATTGAAAGTGCTCTCTGTAGCACCACTAACAATTACCTTGTTGGATCTTGCAATGAACCAACCACTAGTGCACCTCCCAAGTAGTGTGGACAACTAGTCTATGTCATTTAAATTGTTCTTCCTTCCACCCTTTTAGATTATGGATTTGTAGTAATGGTTAAAGATATTGTACGAAAAAGTTGAATTAGCAACGGAAATTATTGACGGAAGAATATGAAATATGTCTCTTTGTCACATAGTCTAATGACAAGTGAATTAGAGACGGATTTTAGTAGTTTCCGTCTCAAATTTCCATTGCTAATTTAATTCTTTTTCTAACTATGAGAACATGAATCGTAGGGAGTTTGATTAGTATAGTTAGGGAAGGAGCTAGGGTATGAGTGTTTTTAAATAAAGATGTTGAGGGTGTAGTATAACTAATTGATGTGTGTTTTGTATGGGAGTGGTAATTAACATTGAGCAATGGTATTGATGTGTTTGAGGAGGGTAGAGGGACTGAGGGAGTCAAGAGCGCACCAGATAATACCTTTGGTTTTCTAGTAAGGCCATCGTCGCTGATGACGATGGTCTCACTAGTTAGTATAGGTGGTGTGGTTCGGGTATTGACTCCTGCTTCTATGTTAGCCTCTACTATTCATTTCAATGTTTATGAACTTTCAACTTAATTCAAACTTGTGTTTTTTGTCTAGTTTCACTTCTTTTATTTCTTGCGCGCATCTTTTAATTTATTGCGTTCATACCACTCTTTTAATTTATTCAGTGTCTTAGAATCTGTTGCAAAATTCCTATAGCATCAAGACAGCACAAGGGTCCTTTATAATTTAGACTCAATCAATCACCTCAATTTAATAACAAAAACAACATACTTGCAAAGAGCTACATTACTACATTAGTATGGCCAATAAATAGAGAAGGAGAACTCACTGGCATTGATATGCAGAATTGTAAACACCATGACAGCTGCCAGCCACCATTGTTGCTGTCAAGACTACAGCTGTTTTGATTAGCACATCATCGATTTTACTACTATTTTTAATTACTCACAATCACAATTTAGTTTCACAATACATCACTTCTAATTTGCCATTTTTAACCTGTTCTCTAAAAAAAGTGGTTGACTTATAGCTAGCTGGTATATTGTCAATCATCATCTTAACACTGAAAATAAAAAGTGAAAACTTGCAAATGTAAATCGGTTGCACTTGGCTGCCGACTTCAATTTTTAATTAAAAAGTTTCAGGTGTAAAAGTGTAACTACTTGACATATTATGGGTAGGAGAATTTCCAAAATATTTACTTGAGGAATGATAATGATTATATTTATTTAATTGAATTTTGGATCACAATTGATTGTAATGGTGTTATGGTTGTAATTTTGAAGTTATCGTATCTAAGTTATTCTTTTATTTTTTTTAGTTCATGAAAATAAGTGAAGAAATTTTATTCGATAAAATATCATTGATCAATATGTTTAATGTGAATATGCGATTCATGTTAAGGTTTCTAAAGTATTCTGAAGGGATTCGTCGGTTAACTCATTTGCATCCAATTTGCCAAAATTGATGAGAGCGAATCGAACCTAAAGTTTAGTATAGACACACGTTTTGGAATTTATTTTATGCAAGTACCGTTTTCATCTTTTTCTCGTTCATATTTTGCAGCAGACCCCAACACAAGATGTAACAATCTTTAGGTTCGATATTCGATTTAATTTATCCTTTATTTGTGATTAATATAAACGTTGCAATTTTGTAGAAGGCACTTTAGTGAGGAGAGAAAGAGGGGATAATAAAGGAAATAAGGATTTATATTATTGAATTGTACAAATAATGATATAGACTATGACTATTTATATACAACCCTAATTAGGCTTGGGTCTATACAACTTGGGTTATATTTATAATACGGTGGGAGAACTGACTTGTTTTGTGTTTTATCGCAAATGTTGCGGATAACAAGAGTCACCACCGACTTTTCTTTTATCCAATAAGGAAAGGATGAAAAGAACAGGAAAGACGTTGAAGATTTTGAGTTCAGGGGGCAAGTTATGAAAAGGGAAGGTATTAGCATCCTTTTCATCCGTAGTTATCTACGTGCTCTTAATTGCTTAACTCACTTTTTAAAAATTGCTTTGTGTTGTGTGTTTGAAAATATTTTGAAAAGTTGCCAATGTAAGGTGAAACTTTGTAATGATTCTCGTATCTGTCCTCGAGAATGCGTACAAAGTGTTTATTTGAAAATATTTATTGAAAATGTGGTTGTGAGAAATGTTTTATTTTGAAGAGATTTGTGAGCAAGCAATTAAAAGCATCTATCCTACTCAAGGTCGTTCTTGTATTTTTCCTCCTCCTTTAGATAGTGCTATCCGTACCATTAGTTAGTAGGAAGCCTTATCGTTGGATGTGAAGGGACAGACGAGGATCATCGTACAATCATCGAAGGCAATTGGTAAGGACACTTTAGCAATTTTCGTAAGGGACTAGATCATTTATCGAAAGGCAACGTCGAAGGGTCATCGATGGACTATGATCTTTGATTTCGAGGGACTTTGCTAAAGCGTCCCCACATGCGAGGGACATGACTATTTTCTGAAGGCAACAAGGGAGGTTATCCTAGAGGTGTGAGTGTGCAAGTTATTTGTATTCAGTTATTTAGTCTTGAATTAGGGTTATGTACGTTTGTTTTTTAGTCTTGCCATACACCCTAATTACTAAGCAATAGAAAATAATTGCAGGAAAAGTAAAATGCGGAAAATAAAGATTCCTACGCTATTACATGGCCTTGGGGCAGATACAAAATATAAAACCGGAAAGTAACAAAATATAAGCTATTAAAACCCGTAAACAGTTACATAATAATAAAAAAATGACAAAAATAAACTATGCTATTTACAGTTGCGAGAATAGAATAAGAATAAGAAAGATGAAAAAGAAAAACGTTTTTTTTGAAGGTTTTTGATAAAAAAGAGTTTTTGATGATTTTTGATGAAAAAAGGTTTTTGATGATTAACCTAAAAAAAGCCTAATTAGTTTTAATTAAAAAAAGTTTAATGATAGAAAAACATAAAAATACTATTTAATTTTAGGGTTTGTGAAAAGATTAATAAAAAAAAGAAACTAAAACCTAATTAGGATTTATGAAAAAAAGTTGTGGTTAAATCAATTTAGGATTTTCAAGGGAAAAGAGAGAAAGGTTAGAATAATAGGAAAAACCACAAAATGTCAGGGGTGGGTGTTGAACTCACTTCCTCAGCTCTTTCATCCAACGTGCTCACAGCTAGGCCAAGCGTGCTTTAGTGTTAGTGGACAACATCAGCGCGCTTTGTATGTTCATCCTGCAAAGCATGAAAATATGAAATAAAAACCCAAAATACCAAAAGGTAGAGATCGAATCCATGCCCTAGTATAGTTATGCCTTAATACGCGCGCCTTTGCCACTGGGGTGGCTATACATCCATTATTACCAACGAAACAAAATAATATAAGATAACCCCATTGCATGGACCAGAGAGGCGCCGGAGCCCTAGCTTCGGTTGTCTTCTCCGGTGAGTCTTTTTCTTCCAACCTGTTAAACAACACTTGTTAGCAATCCAGAGGGACCCTACCCCCCTAAAATCAAGGCCTGCGAATTCAATGGTGATATCTGTTTTGGCTAAAATGTGCTAGGTTGTGAGATATGGAAAAAAATAACATGGATCGGGGTGAGCATGGTGATGTGTAATTCTGGTAGCATGAAGGTCATGTGATTGGTCTAACCTGCACCTTAAGATCTCAGAAGCATGTTAAATAAGTTAGTATGCATAAAAAAATAATGAAAGCAAAGATATAAAAATCATGTAATGAACCAAAACTGCAAGGTGCGTATGAGGGTTTCCGGCCCTTTGGATCTTCAAAGATACTCCATTCTCACTCTACATTGTTGTTGGAAGATAATTGGATGGCTGGCTCGCGTAAAAAGAAGTTATAACTAGGGTTTACAAGTTGCAGTAGTTTGAATGATTTTTTGGAAGTTTGGAATGGTGCTTTTGTACAAAGATTTCGTGTATGCCTCTGTCTGAATGAGGAGATTATATAGCTTGAAATTAGGTCAGCCAAAGAGTGGGCTTGGACCTTTGTAGAAATCTTTTATTTTATTTTATTTTATTTTGACTTTAAATTAGTAAAAATCAAAATAAATAAAATAAAAAGGTCAAGGGGTGCATGAATAAGATCTGAGGTTTATCTTGAGGTACTAAACATGCATGGACTTTAAATCACAAGCCCAATAGTCCAAAATTCCAAGTTTGATCACTTTTGCTTTCATGCATTTGCTCAAAATTTCCCAACTTGCACCAATCATAACTCTCTCAATTTTTGTCATTTGACAGTGATATTACACTTTATGGAAAGCTCAAGATGTCCTCTATAATCTCTATTTTGATCATTTTTGCATTTGAAGAATTTATCTTGATGTAAGTGGCCTTAACAAAAAGTGTCTTTTTGTTGACTTTTGAAATGAACTATAATGTATTGGCCCATATCTCTCAAATGAAGCATTTTTTGGACTTGATCTTAGAGAGACAAAGTTATATAGAATTGAATTTCCTTCAAAATGGGATTTGGTTTAGAAAAATCTGATGAAGCATGTGAAAGTTATGCTTGGTCAAAGTTCAGTTGACTTCTCCTTAAGAAAACCTTAATTTAGCAACTTTGACTTTTGATGAATTGAGAGTTTTCTTGATGAGTCATGATAAACCCTTGATGAAATGATGAATATGACTTTAAAATCTTGATTTTAACCAAAAATATTGAAGTTTGACTGTATGTTGACCATAATTGACTTTTTGTCCAATATAGTTGATTTTCAGTCATCTGAGCAATTGACTTAGCAAACTTATGATTCAAGGCATGAAACTTGACATGATCACTATTGAAGACCTATTAGGAACCATGAAAACCACTTGAGACCTTGAAAAATCAATCTTCCTTGATAAATACCAAACCCTAGTTGTGGACCCATTGCTTAGAAGGAGAATTTGTCTGATCAATTCTTGAGCCAACTTGGGGAAATAAGGATTTCATGAGAATATCTTGAAGGAAAATGGG